GTTTATGTTATTGTATTTCTAAATTCTCTTATATTGTGAAATTTGAGAGACCATCGTAGCAGAAATGTGTTAGACAAAACAACCTTTTAATCTGGATGCTGTTAAATATGAATTGGGCTTTTAAAAGGATGTCACAAAAAAATGGTTATCTGAAAACTGTTAAATATTTAATGAGGTATATTTTGTTATAAAACAGATAATAATAATATATAATAGCAAATTTTCATTTGAAAATCTTGGCCATTATAAGCACAAAAGTTTACTTTTCAGTTGGACCCTCATAAATTTTTAAAATATTCTCATATCAGGTACAGGGTTTAGGTAAGAAGAGAAACAGCAAATGATATGTAAACTGAAATTCTCTAAGTTTCAAGATTGAAGAACCAAATTTAAGTGAATTTACTAAATTATATTAAGTCAAAATTATCTAGGAACCTCTAGATTTGGAACCACAGAAGCAGAGCCCCCTTTAGAACTGTCCTGAGAATAAAGCTTATTGTCCAAGAAAAGAGATCTAAGGACTAGATAACTACATGAGATACCTGGGACTCAAAAGGTGCCGGTTAAATGGACATGGAGAACGGGTTATTAGGATACAAGGAGAGTTGATGTTAGTTAACATTGGCGATAATTGTATCGCTTTGCACGATTTACGTTTAAGTTTTCTTTGTTACCTTGGTGACATGTAAATCTCCTTTTTCAGAACTAGTCCATTGCAAGCCCTCTAGGCAGTTTCATCTGTACCTGACTTATTGTAATTATGGGAATTGTGAGAAAACCTTATTGCATTGTTTGAACCTAGCCCTGCATGGTTGGGAAATTGGACATCTGTATGTGCCATTTAGTGACCTTTAACCAAGGATGTTGACTACAAACTCAGATCCAAAGATTGATGCAAGGAGTTTTCTCACAATTGTACATCTCAAGTTAAGGGCCCCTACCAGGTCCTTCTGACTATTCCCACAGCTGTCAAACTTGTGGGTGTGTACTCCTGGATTATCTGAAGAAAGCCCCTGCTCCTGAGTGTACAGCAGAACCCTCCAGGGACCTCAAGGTTTATCAAGTATGGACCCAGAAGCAGCCTACACCCAGAAAAGACAGCTGTCCCAAGACTCCTGAGGGCTGAGTATACTGTCCTAGTTTTTTCTCCTCTTCCCTTTTGTTATGTGCCCAACCACCAAGGCCCTGATTCAAGCACATACTGGCATTTTCTCCCTCTCCATTCTTGGTTCCCCTCTCTTTTCTGCTGGCAAGGAAACAATGGCCAGCAATGATACCTGGGGCACACTTCCCAAATAGGTCCCCTCAAGGAACTAACCTCCTGGGCAAAATCTCATCCTGGCCCAAGTGGCCTCTCATGGCACCTTGGCTTATACTTGACTCTCCTTTACTGGCCAGAAGGGTAGGGGTTCTTTCAAAACCTGTCCCTTTGGCCAAAAGGGGAAAATGTCAAGATATTATTAAAAGACACCCTGTTTTCCAGAGCTAAGGTCCAGCAAGCCAGCTATGACCTGAGCTTGGGATAACAAGTGTCCTTTGCATTCACCATCTAGAACTGAGGGTCTCTGAGCTCAGCACCAACAGGCCTAGACATGAAGCCCAGCTATGAATGGATTTTTTTGTCACTAGAACCTTGCTTCACTGTCGCTGTTGTGCCTCACCACTATTGCTATACTACAATGTTTGACTTTTTGTCTAGCCACAAATATATAACTCAAGGTTCATTCACACTAATATGGGTGTGTGTGTATGGTAGGAGGGGGTGCTGCCACATGTCCTTGTGTGCAAACCATTTCCTTCACTTTGAAATTAAACTTGATTTCTGACTCTCCTGTCTCTACCCCGCTCTGTTTGGCTCTGGCCATCCACAGATTAGAGGCCGGTTTGGCCCAGTTGTCACTATTAATGTTATACTCATTGCTTCTACTTCCCCTATCCTTACTTTTCAGTCCTTGGTAATCTGGCTTCTGTCTCACGTAACTGAATCTGCTCCCTTCTGAGCTCCAGTCCCCTGCTATACTCCTCCTCCTCAGTATCTTCTCCTGGATTTATTATGGAAAGGGACTAGACCTGTGATTTCAAAGGCATAGTGAACTCTAGTGTTACAAAACTCACTTGTACGAATGCATGTTGGCAACCTTTTCTGCAACTTGTAGTTTTGGAGAGTTGCCTCAGGCACTGAGAGGTTAATTGACTTGCACAGGGTGACATAGTAGTATGTGTCTTAAGGCTGAACATGAACCAAGCACTTTCTGGCTCCAAGGCTAACCTCTATACCATGCTAGGTATCTCAGACTCAGCATGTCCAAAATACAATTCATTATCTTTTCACCTAAACCTATCCCTCTAATCATCCCTATTTTAACTGAGGGTACCACTATTCTACTGACAACCTAGGCTGATAAACTCACAGTCATCAGGGACTCTTCCCTCACCCTCTATGTCTAATCAGGTTTCAAGTTTGATCAATTCCACTTCCATAATATATCTCACATTTTCCCCCTTCTCTCCAATCATATTGCCATCACCCTAGCTAAGGCTTTCATAATCTCTCATCTGGACTACTGTAATAACCTTCTAATTGGCTTGTCTGTTTCAAGCCTCTACATTTAAATATGTATGCATAAATGTGCATATTTATACATATATAATTTTGAATTCAAACACAAAAAATAAGCATTTCTGTGCACACAGAAAAAAGCAGATTTCTATACACTGCCATGAATTTCTATTTCAAACTGTTTACTTTTTAAAATACATAGATTCTTATGTTCAAAACTATACTGCTTGTCGGAATTTCATTCTGAATCCCCTTCCTCTCTTCTATGTGCTTTAAAAAATGTTTCAATGGTCCTCTTTTTTGGACAGCACTATTGCTAACCTCCTCAACTGAAAACCAAGAGCAAGAAAAGAAAAAAAAAACTCATAACAAATAAGATATTATAGCAAAATAAATTACCATTACCACAGACACATCCAAAATTTACACCTCTGCATCCTGTGTGCATCACCTCTCTGTTAAGAAGTGAGTAACATATTTTGTGATGGTTGGCCGCTGCATTGGTTAAAGCTGTTTTTCTTTATAATGTTTATAGTATTGTATGAAATTTTCTAGTTCTGTTCACTTCACTCTTTTCAATTCATACTATCCAGTCTTTTCTGAAATCATCTCTTTTTACTGTTTCTCCTGGTACAAAAATATTCCACTACGTTCATATATCACAATTTGTTCTGACATTGCTCAACTGTCTAAGAGATAATCTAATTCATCCCCTTAGATTCCAGTTCTTTTCTTTTCTCACTTTTTCCCTTCTAAATTCCCTCCTACAGTCAGGAAGGTTGTTTTGTTTGTGACTATTCCCTCCTCAGTATTATCCTACTTTTCTATTTCTCTTTTCTATCTCTATTTGTCTTCCTCTTGAAGTCTGATGAATTTCTATACCTGTCTGTGCATTTGTTCAACCTTCTTTTGTTCATTTACGACATGAGATTCATCTGAAGCCCACCCCTTCTCCAATGCTTGAATACTCTTTTCATAGATCCCAATTAATGAGAATAAGTAAGTTCTATCCCTTCTTCCTCCCTTCTACACTAATGTATTTTCTACCCTCCCTTCTTCTTTCCTTCTTAAAGCCCTTAGAATAGAACCAACCCTTACTTTTTCCTTCCTCTCCACCCCCAGTTCATCTGCTTTTCTTATTTGACTCCCTCAACACTCTCATTAAGGTTATAAAGGGACACTTGTTTCTTCTCCATTAAAATATTAGCATTATGTCATCATACAGCCCCTTCCAATTGCTCAAATTAATTTACTTTCTAGGTTTCCCTTGACTCTGGTGTTTATATGTCAAAGTTCCTACTCAATTATGATCTTTTACACAGATAGACTTGAAAGTCCTCTACTCAAGAAACTTTATCTTCTTTTATAGTTCAACTTAAGTATAATCTGTTCTGTGAAAAATATTCCCAATGGAAAAAGGACCTACTTTATATTTTTTTATATAAATATAAAAATATTTATAGCTCCTCTTTTTGTGGCGGCTAAGAATTAGAAATCGAAGGGATGCCCATCAATTGGGGAATAGCTAAATAAGCTGTGCTATATGATTGCAATTGAATATTATTGTGCTATAAGAAATGACAAGCAGGATAATTTCAGAAAAACGTGGAAAGACTTACATGAACTGATGCCAACTGAAGTGCACAGAACCAGGAGAATGTCGTACACAGTAATAGCAATATTGTTCAATGAAGAACTGTGAATAACTTAGCTATTCTCAGCAATACAATGATCCAAGACAATCCCAAAAGGACTCATGATGAAGCATACTATCCACCTCCAGAGAAAGAACTGATATTGTTGAATACAGGCTGGAGCGTGCTATTTTTCACTGTCTTTCATTTTTTCTTTTATTTGAGTCTTCTTGTACAAAATGACTAATATGGAAATGTTTTACATAATTGCACATGTGTAACATATATCTGATTATTTACCATCTCAAGGAGGGAAAAGGGGAGGAAGGGAAGAAGAGATAGAATATGGAACACAAAACTTTAAATAAAAATGTTAAAAATTCGAAGAAAAAAAAAAGAAAAATATTCCCTGATCCCCTCCAGTGGCTAATCCTCTTTCAATTTCCCCCATGTGATACTTAGTTGTGTACATATTATATTCCCTCAGTAGAATGTAAGCTCCTTGAGGGCAGGGACTGTTTCATTTTTTTGTCTCTGTATCTCCAGCTCCTGTCACAGTGCCCAGCACATTGTAGACATTTAATAAATAAATCTGTTGAATTGCACTGAATTGTTCGTGAGATCTTGGCTCACCAAAAAACATAAAATAAACTGGCAAGCAACTCTTGAAAGTGTTATCATCTAAGAGAAATCCTTGATTAAAAAAAGTCACAAATGTATAAGTAACTATCCCAAAGCAAATAGAAAACAATAACTAATAAATGAGATCAGAAAAAATATAAATAAAAACTCCACTTAGTAAATACCGTGAATGGAAGAGGTGATGAAATGCCCTTTGCATAGCTCTTTGTAGCCACCCTGGAATAAATCGTGAAAATACCTGAAACACAAAGAAAAGAGAAACAATAAGTGATATTCAAATAGCACAAGGTTTGTAAAGCATTTTACATGTTATCTGATTTAATCTTTGTACCAACCTAGTCTATCCTCATTTCACAGATAACCTCTCTATGCCTCAGTTTCCCTAAGTAACTTCCCCAGTCACAAAGCTAGTATACTTGAGAAATGGGATTTGAAACCAGATCTTTCTAATTTCCAAGTCAGCATTCTATCTACTATACCACAAAGCCTCTAAAAGGAACCCCAGAATTTAGTCTCAAATGAATGATATTTTTATATAAGAGAGCTTCTCATTGGTAGATTCTCTGATTTACAGGTTGGAATAAAGTATCCTACTTTCATCTCCCTTTGCAGCTACAAATTTTTTTAATAGTATTTTGGAGAAACAAATCCATTTATAAAGGTGAAGAGTGGGTGTGCTGCATGCTACAAAATTATGCTGACTAAATTCAACAAACATTTATTAAGAATCTCTGTGGACCAACTGCTTTTCTTTTGTTTTGTTGAGGAAGTAGTATTTGACTGGGCAGCTGGACAGTCCCAGCAGCTGGAGAGTACTGGACAGTATGGACACATTAACCAGAGGCTCCCTTTTGTCTGTCTACGCTCAGGCAGCGGGGTTACCACTACCGGTAGCCCTGTCCTGACTCACCTCTTCTCAGGACTTCCTCCCTAGCCCCAGCTACTGAGAAGGCTCCATGGCAGGCCCAACCCTCCCAAAAAACAATTTAATATTCATTAAAAACCACTATAGAGGTTTGAGAAGTGAAGAAATCAGAAGCAAGAGAGAACCTCTGAAATAAGCACATGTAGAAAATTTCTGGTCTTCTAAATGGTCACAAGAAGTCTAGCATAATGAAAATTCAAGTTGAGTTAAAAAAAAAAGACAGAAAGCTTATACACCATTAATATAATGAACTTCAGAACAATTATTAAAGTTCTCTGCTTCAATGTTTGGGAGCCTGAAAACATCTGGACCCTTACAGTTTTCTTCGATACCACCATTATGAATAAGTCATAGAGACTGGAAGAGTTTGTGGTACAACTAGGGGATCTGGAAAGGCTTCCTGGAGTTAGCAGCACCTTCAAGTTAGCCTTGAAGAAAGCTAGGGATGCTAGGAAGCAAAGGCGAGGGGCCAGTGGGTTGCGGACATGTAGAATGGTTTGTGCAAAGACAGAGAGACAGGAGATAGAAAGTCAAGTTTAAAGAACAGCATGTAGATTAGTTTGGTGGAAACCTGGAGTGTATAAAAGGGAGAAAGGTGAATTACATCTAGATTACCTCTTCAGACAAGTTAGAGACAAACTATGAAGTTTTAAAAACTTCAAACTGGACAGCGTGCATTTTGTCCTAGGCATTACAAAGTCACAGAAGATTCTTGAGTGGGAGAGCAAAATGGTCAGACCCATGCTAGGAAGATGTGTTTGTCTGCTGAGCAGAGAGTAGTTGGAGAGGAGGTAGACTTGAGGCACAGAGACCAGTTAGGAAGCTACTGTAGGTGAGAGGTGATTTAGAGCCAGAAGGAAGATGTTGGCTGTATGAGTGGAGAGAGGAGGATGTATATGAGAACTGTTGGGGAAGTAGGAAAAGTGAGGCCCATAGAAATCAAGTGACTTGCCCAGGGTCACACAGCTAGTAAGTTTGCAGAGGAAGAAGTCAAACCCAGCTTTCTCTGTCTGAATTAAAAATAATTTCTATTATATCATGTTGCCTCTACTTAGTTCTGATCCACAAGAATATGACTCAATTTTGCATCACGGAAGGATTTCCAGAGAAAAGAAATCAAGAAAATGACAGATTCTGTTACCTGCTCTCATCTCCATCTATTGAAAATGGAGGTATATGAAGGTTATTTTTATTCATCAATGATAGCTGATGAACTCTTTATTAGCCTCCTCAGTTCCATTTATCTTTTAAGACCCACATACTGTTTTTGTTCATCTTTTTTATGAAAAGCTTCCTTGCTCTCTACTATTCCGAGCTGTATCTCCTTTTGTCTTTCCAAAGGCATCTCTATTTTTACCTAACTTTCCAAGAATAGACTCACTGAATTTCTTCTACACGTGCTTGCCATTTTGGGGCCATGCCTTTCCCTACTTCTTTTCCATTTTCAATTTACTGGTTCCCGTCAGTTGATCCTTCCAGAATTTGATGCTAGTACTGTAGACTCATTCAAGTAACAATTCCTTACAGAAGAGAACAAAAAACAAGCAAACTAGCAAAACAACACAAAGCAAAAATAGAGATAAAAGAAATTAAGTCCTTAAATTCATTTAAGCTGTGCCTTATTTGGGAGTTGGGGTACTGATAGCAGGTACAGTACTCATACATTCGACAGTTCTTCAAATATTTAACAAGTTGTCAAATGAATGATACGAATACATTTCTAAACTTAGCTGAGTAGAAATAAAAGAGACTGGTTGGAATTTATATTGCAGTATGTTTTACTGCTGGTTTCCTATGGCTCTCTACCATATTGGGGTAAACAGCACAACCAGAAGCGCATTCTTCCTATATTCTGGTGGAGGATAAATATTCTACTACTGAGTTATCCATAGCTTCTCTCATCTAGTGACATCTGATACTGCCATCTTTCTGCGTGTTATATGTTATGTCCTGGTTATAGAGGCAGCTAGGTGGCTCAGTAGACAGAGCATTGTGCTTGAAGGCACTGAATTAAAATCTGGCCTCAGTCACTTACTAGCTGGTGTGACCCTGGGCAAGTCACTTAACCTCTTGTCTGTCTCAGTTTCCCCAACTATAAAATGGGAATAATAATAGCATTTATCTCCTAAGGTTGTTGTGAGGATCAAATGAGACAATTGTAAAGCACTTAGCACAATGCCTGGCAAATAGTAGGCAGTTAATAAATGCTTGTTCCTTTCCCCTTATAGCCTAGCTGGTTCATTTGGTTAGAGAATGGTGCTGATGACTTATGGATTCAATTCATATGTAGGCAGTCAGTTTTACATGAATAAAAACTGTTTTGGCTGCAAACTATACTCTTACTCCAGGTACTGTTTTAATAGTCAGTTAATCATAATTGTGCAGGGAGGACCAAATACAAACCTAGCATCACAACTGAAATTAAATAAGAAACCTGAACTGTGTATAAGAGGTGTGTTTGGTAAAACTACAGAAGAATAGTGTTTTTTACACAGCTACTGTGAAGTGAAATGCATCATGGCATTAAAAAAAAAAGAAAAGCACAAGCCTAAAAAGTCTCCATTTTGCTAGTGTAGTCTTAACATGTTGGGAAGATGTGACATTACATGTAAACAGCTCAAAATGCACATCCTAGTAAAGACTGGTTGACATTATCTCTGACAAAAGGTACAACATTTATTCCAAAACTGCTTGGTTCCTGTTTTAACTGTGACCTCTAAATTAAATTAAAAGTATTTTTCCTCTTCAGGTCTTGGTGAAGAGTAAACCCATACCAGATATGTTCAATTCTACTTTTTTTTAACTTTGGTTCAAGGGCATGGAATGAAACAGAGAGCACAGAGACTGGGTTTTATTTCTCAATTAAACAATGATATGCTACATAACCACTTACAAGTTACTCAATCAATTAAGTCAGGAGTTATAAACATGTCCTTTCCCTAACATAGAAAGTTTCATAGAATGGGATTTTCTCTGAGATAAAAAGGTACAGCATTCATAAACAAATTTATAATCTAGCCTGGCTATCAGCTTAGGCTTGACAAGTCACAAGTAACAGAACCCAGGGTGAGCTTCTGTTTGCAGCAAGTTTAATTTTTTTTTTTCCACTGTTTGAGAAGATGAAGAGAACCTCCTGGTGTTCATTTTTTGTCATACCAGCTCTCATACTGTTCATGGGTTTAATTGTGTGTCACTCTCACATATACATACATACATACATACATACATGTATGTGTGTGTACATAAAATTTGACTTGACTTATTCTGAGGAGCAATGTTAGAGGACATCTGGGAAAACTGACTGAAGACAGAGCCAGAGGAGTCATTGTCTAATACTATTTCCTTAAGTCTATGAGACTCTGATTTTTTTGGGGGGGGAAGATATTCAATTATATTAAAGTAATGAAAAAACAAGTATGTGGTATTTCAATCTATAACTAACTTTACAGAATACATACATTCCATATACTGATATTTATGAAATTGTAGAAATAGAATCTCTTTAGCCTTAGAGAAAAACTAGTCAGATTAATAACAACCATTTAATAAATACATTAGAAAATATGGTTCTCCCCACAATGTCTGTTTCATCTATTACCTGTGATCCATCTGTAAGGATTTCTCCTGCCAAGGTATGGGTCCTTTTGGAATATACGCAGAGCAGTAAAACACTAGTCAGAACACACACCAAGTAAATCAGGAAAAGAACTAAAAAATCCATCTTGAGTGCTACAACAAAATAAAGACAAATGTGTCAGTATTTCTTACTGAAGTATTTACCAACCTTTTGCATGCTGAGACACAAGTAATTCAAATTATTCCTCATGACTATATTTCTTCAGTTCTTTAGGATGGCTTTCTCTTTTTTTTTGTTTTGTTTTTATGGACACAGTCTTCACATCATTGAGCATCTAAATTCTCCTCCTTCCAGTCACCCCAAAGAAACTTTGAAATCTATGTGAGGCATATATAACCTATATCAAATTGCTTACCATCTTAGGGAGGTGGGGAAATGGGGGAGGAAGAAAATTTGGAACTCAAAAAATTTTTTTAAATGAATGTACACATAATGAGGAAAAATAAAATAGTATTTAAAGGAAAGAAAGAAAGAAACAAGGAAATATATGTGAGGAAATGCCTTTAGGGAACAAGGTTATCACACCATTGGTTGGTAGTCTTCCTTCCCCTCCCAATTTAAAAATAGAATGAAACTTTTAAAGTAAATAGCTCCTCTTCCTTGCTTATTATAAAATATCTTAAACAGAAATAATTAGCAAAAGGTAGAAAGTAATACACATTATAGGAAGTTCCAGAAGGATACTTAATACTCAAGAGTTATCAGAACAAAAATAACCAAGGGAGAATGATCTAACTTCAGACCATAAAACTAGCCAATTTGAACTATGAACTAATCATCTAAGATGGTGGTCTCCCATAGGAACCAGCAATTTGAACACAAAGCAACCCCATATGACACAATGGAATTGAGGGCTTTGAGAAGAACCCTAAACTGGGACCTTAGCCATTCCAGAAACTCCCACCATTTCCCAGTGTTAGGGTCTTACTCCTTTTTGCCCATTCTGTGGCTTAGTCAACAAAATTACTGTATTTCACCACATAAATGTCGCATATTTTATGACAAATTTTTGCCAAAGTGGGCTTGACCATTATGTGAAGATTTTTTTTTAAAAAGTGCCAGTATTACTTGTCTTTTAGTTTCTGCTAGTCTTGTACCAACTTTTCACTCACTGAAAACTGTCTTTCCATAGCTCCGTTTCCATGCTGTTCAGTGAACACAATCACTTTCAGCTTGAAGTTCACAGAATAGTTTTTATATTTACCCATAATCCAAAAGAAATCTTCACATGTTCATGTATGGCTGGTAGACAAATTGTACAGTTCAGCTAGCTCAGGAAGATGCAAGTTTTACCATATAACAACTTCCTCATGGCAGCTTCACCTGCCCCCCTGCTCTCCTTGCACCTACAGCTCTTCATTGGGTTGAGTGACAATACCGTTAGTACTGACGGGGGAATGGGCCCAAGCCGAGACTTTTGCTCCTTGTCCCAAAAAGAATTTGGGTCCCATTTGTCTACGGGCCCAAGAAAACCCTTAAACTTTCTTTGACTTCACTCTGGTCTCTAACGGTTGCCTGAGGCTATACTCCACTCAACTGGCCTTTCCTTATCTCTTATTCTTATTCTGATGGACTGGCTCTCCCAAACTCCCTTTGAAACCCTAATGAAGCTTAGTCTTTGATCCTAGTGTATTTCCCACCTTGGATCTTATCCAGATCCCATTCAACCTCTTCCTTCCAGTTCCCTTCATAGTCTATTCTTGGCAAACTCCTAGACACTCCCATTCTCCCTAAACTCCTCCCGCAGTCACCCAGATCCTCTTCCCAGCCCCTCCTCTCAATACCCCAAAATTACTTGGCTATATATACGATTCACCCTGGACCCATTTTAAAAGCTGAGATTTCCTCATGCCCGCTCGTCCTTACGGCCATCACTAATGCTCACATTCCTTAAGAGTCTGGCCTGTATGGCCCATCTCTAATAAAACCTTGTCTTTGACTGAAATAAGATTTGGGTCGAATTCATTCGGGCAGGACCCACTATATCATGATTTTGGGGTCCCGCTGGGAAATGGTGGGAGTTTCTGGAATGGCTAAGGTCCCAGTTTAGGGTTCTTCTCAAAGCCCTCAATTCCATTGTGTCATATATGGGGTTGCTTTGTGTTCAAATTGCTAGTTCCTATGGGAGATCACCATCTTAGAGGATTAGTTTATAGTTCAAATTGACTACACCAAATCAGTACTGCAGCACTCTAAACAAAACTACACAAGTCAGCTTTTGGAAATATACTGACAATGTGGGTTTGCTGAGAATTCTAGGCTTAAGAATTCTAGGCTCACAATGCAAGAGACATAAATGCATATCCACATGCCACTGGTGAATACATTGCTGCTCTGTTTACCTTTTAAGGGGCACGATGAACAGAATTATACCATGTGACAATTACTCGATGATAGGTTACAAACCAATTTTTGGACTGAAAAAAAAAACCCCTCAAAAACAAACAAAAAAAAGAAAAAAAACCCCTCAAAAACAAAAAATCAACCACCCAAACAAAAAAAAAAAAAAACCAAACCAAAAACCAGGGTGGGCCAATTATGTGGTGGCAACGATTGTTCAGTGAAATATGGTATTAAGCACTTACTCTATACATGGCACTATGTCTACCCTAGGTAAGATAGGACATGTATAAAACATATGTACAAATAAGTATAATACAACCTATGTTGTATAGTGTTATAAGGGAAAACACTATGTATAGTGTTATAAGGGAAAAGGAGAGATCCAGACAGAACTGTGGGAAAATTGAGCTTAATCTTCACAAACACAACATTAGTAAATAGCAATTCACTAACAAAGAATTTAAATTGTTTAGTTTAAAACATAATTGTATTAGGAAATTAAGCTACTTTTGATCATTATGATTCTGGGCTAGAACGACCTTGATTCTATTAAGGCCTAGAGTAAGATGAGGACGAACTACAATATTTGTGTAGGCTATACTAACTGACCTAAATGAAGCCTGGAAAAGTAAAAACAAATGGAAAAAGAGTATGGATACTTTTCTGAGCCTGAAAAAGATTCAGTGGGAGGTTATGACCAAACAGGAGGCACACTGTCTAGGTGTTAGCGGAGGAAGGAGATAAATTGACAACCCCTCATGAGCCAACCAGAAGTAAAAAGTAGAGATTCTTGGGGAAAATTTTGGCAGAAAGAAGCATTTCCAGAGCTAACTGAAGAGGTTCTTTGTGTGGAGGATTAATTTCAAACAGGTGCAAATTACCCAGAGGCTTTGTGATCCTAACAAGATTGAAAGAGCTGTAATAATGGCAGTTGCTCCAGTGTTTTTATTTCAAAAGCCTAATACTAGAAAACTAGGTAGACCCTGGGGGTAATTAGTGCCAATTATTGAGGATCAGCAACCAGAGAAGATGCCTGAAAAAGAGGAAAGAGAGGAAACAGTTTCTCTTCTGAGGGGGTTTCTAAAAGAGTAGATAAGCAAAATGTGGTAGGTAAGGTTTACTTAAATTGCTTTTTAATTTTATTTTTTATTCTGAACTTAAACACCAAAAAAGTATTTCCATGTTCACAGCAGAACACAAAAATTGGAGAACATATGAATTTGTAAGTCTCCATTTCATACTGCTTGCCTTTTTTGAAAAAATATATAATAAATTCTATAAATTACTTTCAAAACTGTCCTGCTTATCTGTGCTTTCTTATGAAGTGCCTTCTGATCTCATTTGTGTTTTTTAATAATGTTTCAATGGCATTCTTTTTCTTTTACATTACTACTGCTAATGATTCCCATCCCCAATTAAAAACAGAGGGGGAAAAAAGACCAATAACAAATAAGCATAATTAAAAACAAATCTACACAGTAGACACATCCAAGAATATATCTCTTTCTGGAGCCTGAGTCCCTCGCCTCTCTGTCATGGAGGGGGCAACCTGCTTCATCATGGGTCCTCTGGAGACACAGTTGATAATTGCTTTTAAAAGTCTTTTAGAGTTGTTTTTCTTTACAATGTTATTATCGTATAGAGTATTCTTCTGATCATACTCTTTTCTCTGAATAAATTCATACTTTTAATATTTTCTACATTCATCTTTTATCCTTTCTAATGCTACAATAGCCCATTGTATTCACATGCCACAATTGTTCAGCCATTTCCCAACTGAGGGGAACCCTTCCCCTTAGATTCCAGTTCTTTCCTTCTTTTTCCCTTTTAATCTCCCCCCCCCACCCCTACTTGTTTCCCTGTGGAGCTAGATGTATTTCCACACCAAAATATATGTGTATTCAACTCTCTTCTATCCATTTCAGACAAAAGATTCATCACCTGGTCCCACCACCCCTTTCCACGTTTGTATACTCTTCTCACAGATGCCAGTTATAACAGCAAGTTCCACCCCATTCTTCCTTTTTTTCTACATTAATGTATTTCTTTTACCCTCCCTTTTTTCCTCTCTTAAAACACACAGAACAGAATCCCTGACCCACCCTGCCTCCCAGGTCCACTGTTTTCTCTTATTTAAATTATTAGAGCTTGGTCAGACATAGAAGACACCAAGGGCATCCACTGCATCCTAGGTCATCACCAGTAGTCTTGACTTTTGTCTTGCCACTGGACTTCAACGACTCTGGAAGAGACTGAGGCTAACAATTTTGTGCAACTCAGCCTCACTTAAATCCAATTCATTTGCAAGTCAAGACATCACTCTTCGATATCATTGGTCCTCTTCGAAGGAAGGATCCCCAATACCCTTCAGAGATATTAAGGTTCTAAAAAGACACTTGTTTCTTCTCCCTCTGAGTGTATGTTAACACATCATCAAACAGTACCTTCCAGTAGTTCAAACTGCCTTTTTTAGGTTTCTCTTAACTCTTACGTTGTAATTCAAAGATCCTACTCAGCTCAGTTCTTTTCAACCAAAAAGCTTGAAAAGTTATTCCATTAAAGATCCATTCTGCCCCCCCACCCTCAGCTTTGCAGGTGAACTATGCTTGGCTGTAAGTCTTGATATTTTGCCTTCTGGAACACTGTACTTCCAAATCTCCTTTTGTTGAGTAAAAGGCAACAGGTCTTCTTTGTGACGACTGGTACTTGAACTGCTTCTTTCTAGATGATGTCTAGAGATTTAGGGGTGCTGGGACCCTGAGATCATGACAACGGACCCTGCTTGAATGAATTCAACCCAAATCTTTCAGCCAGAGAAACAAGTTTATTAGAGATAAACCATACAGGCCAGTTGACACCCCTAAAGACAAGCAAGCATAAGAAAGTCACAGCGTTTAAATGAGGGCCAAGGTGGATCTTATAAACACTCCAGTAATTTTGAGTGACCAGAGGAGGGGCTGGAAAGAAGGTCTAGGTGATTTAGGGAGAATTCTGATTGGAACGTGTGAGAGATTGAATAGACAATGGAGATAGATAGATTGAACAGATAATGAAGGGAACTGGAAGGAAGAGGATCAAAGGTGGGACTAGGGCTATCAAAGAAAGATAAAGAGAGTCGATAAGGAAAAGCCAGAGTGGAATATAGCCTCAGGTAACCGTCTGAGATCAGAGTGAGGTCAAAAAGTTTAAGGGTTTTCTAGGGCCTCTACACAAATGGGAGCCAAATTCCTTTTGGGGCAAGGGGCAAAGGTCTCGGTTTGGGCCCATACCACATCATAGATGCCTTTATTTTTTTGAATGTAGGGGCTCTGAATTTTTGCTCTGTTCCCAGGACTTTTCCTTTTGGGGTTTCTTTCAGGAGGTGATTGGTGCATCCTTTCTATCTTCATTTTGCCCTCAGGTTCTAACAGATCTAAGCAGCTTTAATTTATGATTTCTTGAAATAAAATGTCCAGGCATTTTTAAAAAAAAATCATCACGGTTTTCAGGAAATCCAATGATTCTTCTATTTTTTCCAAATTTTTTATTTTGTCTTATTTTTTTTTCCTGTTCCATAGAGTCAATAATTTCTGTTCAGTCTTTAGTCTAGTTTTTAAAGAGTTCATTATTTGGGTAAATTTTACTGTGTTTTATTCCAAACTATTTATTCTCCTTCTAATTATTTCCTCCAAAACTTTTTTTTTTTAAATCTCTTGCTTCATTTATTTTAGGTATTTATGTAGTCCATGTAGAAAATCCATTTTTTCTTTGAATCTTTGTCCTTATTGGGTTACTCTCTATTTTGGATGCGTGGACAATTTTGGATACTATGTGTATATATATAAAACACTATGAGTGTATATGTATAAATATATATATATATATTTAGAGAGAGTGAGAGATTTTATAGTGGTAAGAGCCTTTTCCAGTTTACTTATCTCTCTAGCCTTAGTTCCGGAACTGGGGCATTATGCCAGGGCCAAATTTCTGGGGTGACTGGCTCTGCTTGGTCTTGCCCTTGGTCACCTAGACTCCTGCCCTGACCTTAACATCCTAGGTTTGGTGCCCTTTGGACTACTGAGGTACAGAATACTAGGTCTTCAAAGCTCTCTGTGGTATCTCAAGACAGTGCTGGAAACCTTGGAATTGTGGGGTGTCCCAGTCTGAAGGCTACTATGTGTGCACTAGTCACTGCTACTCTTTGTGACTTCTGAGGTCCACCACTGCAGGTTTCTGATTACCCTAGAGCTTTCTTGTGAGAGCTCTTCACCACTGCTGCTTGTGAATACACAGCAATTCAGGTTACACGTTTCTCTGCTCATAATGGCTTGTTTGAGTTTTTGGCGATAATCTTCTTGCTTCCACTCAGGCAGCCATCTTAGCCAGAAATAGTGTTTCTTAGATTTTAGTAAAGCATTTGATAAAGTCTCGTGGTATTTTTGTGCAAAAGATGGAGAGATGTACACCAGCCAATACAATTAGGTGGATTCTAAACTGGTTGAATGTCAAGGCTCAAAAAGCAGTCATTAATGGACAAGTGTCCCCTCTTGAGCTCTCTAATGGAATGCCCCAGGGACCTGTGGTTAGTTAGTCAGGTGCTATTTAACATTTTTATTAATGACTTAAAGGTACAGATAGAATGTTTTCTGAATTTAGAGATAATTTCCTTAGTTATTAGAGCTCTTATTTCCTTTTTTATTTTTTGGTGAAGCAATTAGGGTTAAGTGACTTGCCCTGGGTCACACAACTAGTAAGTGTCAAGTGTCTAAGGCCGGTTTTGAACTCAGGTGCTCCTGACTCCAAGGCCCAAGCTCTATCCACTGTGCCACCTAGCTGTCCCTAGAGCTCTTATTTCAAATAACTGTTTATTTTGTATGTATCACATTTATTTATCTGTTGATATGTTGTATCCCTTCAGTAGAAAGTAAGCTCCTTGAGGGCAGCCATTGCCTCACTTTTCTAGGGTCTAGCACAGTAATTGACACATACAATACATTTAATTAATATTGCTGATTAAGGATATATAATATATTGGATGACAAAAGATTTAAAAAAATCACAACAGGTTAGAACATTAGGCCAAATCTGGTATGATGAAAATGAATAAGGATAATAAAGTTTTATACTTGGATTTTAAAAAAAAAAATCAACTTAACAAGTCTGAAATGTAGTATGTATGGCTGGAGAGGAAAAAGAACTGGAGATGACTAGTGTTATATGGCAGCCAGGAAGGTAAATGTCATCTCAGACTACACTAAGCCAGGCACACACTCGATCAACAAGCATTTATTAAGTACCTACTTGAATGATGATACACTATGCTAGTTGCTGTGGTACAAATACAAAAGTGCTCAGGGAGTTTACATTCAAACAAGGAGATACATCACAATTAGGGAATGCTACAGAGACAAAAAAGTTTTGATCTAGGTAGTTACAGGATTGTGTGTGAAGCCACAGGGCAATAGACTGTAGGACCTTCCTAGCAATGGTAGTACCAATCTGATTTTTTTCCAGAGAAATAGTTAGAAAGCAGAGGTTTAGAAGGGTGGGGAATTGCACACAGAGATGCAGGAGAGGAAGGCAGACATTCTCACCGAGCAGGCCCTAGTGTTCTTGTGGATGGCAGGCAGGGATGTGCCAGATAGATATAGTGGGTTAAGATCAATTTTCACTCACCCAGCAATCATCACAGCTCAGTCCCCAACCAAAGTCCCAAAGCTGAGCTGATTAATTCTCCCTGGGGTGGATGGGGGGGTGGGGGGTGGGGTGGAGAGGCTGGTCTCTGGAGGTCCCAATCTGATAGAGAAAAGAGAGTAGAAGTCAAGATGTTTACCTGGGTAGGCCCTGGTGGATGGCTAGATGAAATGTGAAATACTCTCTCGGGCCAACTATAGAATCTGAGAATGACGAAGTTATAGACCCACTGGATTCTACCCTAAGTTCACATTTGGAGTATCATAATTAAATGCAGGTGCTACATTTTATGGACATTGATAAGCTGGAGAATATCCAAAGAAGGGTAACCACAAGTGGTAAGGAGCTTCTAGTTCATGCCATTAGGACTGGTGGAAGGCACTGAGAATGATGAGTATGGAGAAGACTTCGGGAGACGTGACAGCTATCTTCAATATTGTACAGCTGTCACATAGAGAAAGGGATTCCAATTTTTTCTGCTTGGTCCCAGAAGGCAGAAGGGTGGAAGTTTCAGATACAAATCGACACTTTTACATCTGAATAAAAAATTCCTAATAATTAGAGCTATCCCAAAATGAAATGCTCTGATTGAAGAAAAAGTAGACTCCCACTCACTGATGATCTTCAAACACTGGACAATCATTTCTCAGATATGTTGTAGAGGGGATTTTTTTTCAGGCGATATTCATTAGATTGTGAGCTCCTTGGGGGCAGGGACTGTCTTTTGCCTCTTTTTGTATTCCCAGTGTTTAGCACAGTGCCTGGCACATAGTAGTCATAAAGTTTACCGAATAATGTAAGTTAAGACTAGAGCCACTGAGGTCCCTTCTAACTCTGAAATTTTTTTTCTTTTTTTTTCCCTTTTTTGGTGAGGCAGTTGGGGTTAAGTGACTTGCCCAGGGCCACATAGCTAATGTCAAGTGTCTGAGTATCTCTGAAATTCTTGAATTTGTAAACAAAGGGGATCTTCCAGTAAAGGATCAACAGTGTCAGAGTAGTAAAATAGAACTAGGTTCTAAGAGAACCTAGAATTCTTCCCCCTTGCTAATCCCCACCCAGGGTAGTATTATAAGTCCCATGTATAATGCAGGCCCCTGAAGTAAATGATAGCACTCAGGAGAGGAAAAGGAACTCCTCTGATTCTGTGAGTTTGGTGAAAATGCTTTCCTCTTGCTGAGGATCCATTCAATGTAGTACCCTAAGTCACAAAAACTGTGTAAATCCCTGAGTGAAAATAGGTCCAGTAGTAGAGTGGTCTCTATGTAGCCCTTTATCCTGCCAAAATGAACCACAAGCTAAAAATCGCCAATTTTGTTCTAATGACAGATTACAGATCTCCAAATCATGGCATCCTCCAAAAAATCTTACTACTAAATTCTGAATTGAACATTCATTTACCTGACCTTAATCTGCAACTCAAGCTGAGTTTGAATTACCTCCCTTTTTTTTTTTTTTTTTGGTCCATGATTTGGTCTATGATTTCATTCTTGTGGAGAAATTCCTTCCATTGATAAAGGTTAGCTATGACTTTCAGTCTCCTAAAGCTGTCAGGAGCATTAAGAAGCAAGGGCAAAATGATTTGCTTGTAGTCACACAGCTAGTATGTATGAGACAGAACTTAAACGCTAACTCCAAAGTCAATTATCTATCCACTATGTAACACTGCTTCTCACATACATGCTACAAGGTTATAAATAGTTAAGAGCTGTGAAACAGAAAGCCTCTCCTATCCCCCAGAAGTTAATGACTAGTGTGGGATTACTGAACAGGTACTTATATGAAAAAAGACCAGGTAACATAAGAGAAAAATAACAAAACAAATATATGGGGAATGAAAAGCTAAAGGAAGGACAATAGGAGGAACAGTATATAATAAGGAATGGAAAATCTGTTATAATCACCTAGAACTCACATTAGGAGGTATGGTAAATGGTCAACTGCATAATATGAATTAAGGGAAATAAGAAAATTTTGTCACATGTTGAAACAGTACTATGACATAACAGAAAAGGTGCTATGCTGGAGAAATCTATGTTCAAATCCCATTTAGTAACTGTTGTACTACCATAGGCAAGTCACTTAAACTCTGCGACTCAAGTTTCTTCAGATATAAAAACAGACCCAAGAAATATCTGAGAACTCTTGTAAGAAAACTGGTATAAGGACCAAAAGAGACTGTACAATAAAGTGCATAGTAAACATGAAAGAACTATATACATGCCAACACTGAGGCAGTATGGTGCAGTGGAAAGAGTACTGGATTTTGAACCATAAGAAACCTACCCTTGAATCCCACTTGACACTTACCAGCTGATCTGAGTCTCAAATTCCTCATTAGAAAAAAAGAAAAAATATTGTAGAGCTTACCCCAGAGGGCTGGTGAATCAAGTGAGATATGGCATGTAAAGAACTGCAAAAACCTTAAACTATCATAAAATATCACCTATATTTCAGGAATTTAATACAAGTAAACACTCAATCCTACAATTTTGTTGTAAGGAAAGCTCTTTGTAAGCCTTAAAGTACTAAAGGTATTTTTGATATCATTTACCCACAAATTCTCTGTCAGACAGTCTAGTCTCTAAACGAGTCATGAGAATTCTCACCACAGGTTATTGTTTCATTCTATACCTGCTGCCAGAAATGCCTTTCCTCTCCACTCCTAACCATTTTTCAAGAACCAGGTCAAATCACACCTTTCTGACTTCTTCCTGAACCAACTTTCTTCTCTGATCTAACACAGCATTTGTTATCATGTTTGATCTCCTTAACTAGTAAGTTCCTTGGGGGTAGGTTCTATATCTTAAACCTCCTTATATTCCAAATAGCACCTAGGATGGTGCTCAATTTTTATTAAGTTGGAGCCCAATAAACGTTGGTTGTGATTAAACATTCACAAGGAATACATGACCAAAACAAACTAAGACAGTGGGAGGAATGCTGTACTTGAAGCCAAGCATAATATATGGATATCTACACATAACTATAGAGATACACATATAAGATATAATAATCTTAACGTTGGTTAAAATCCTAGTTTTCATGTTTATTTGGTGTATGACCCTTGAAAGTTGCTTTATGTCTCTGAATATATATATTTTTATCAACCTTATCACTAGTTATATAAGGAAAATGTTTTATAAGATATAAAACACTACAAATATGCACTGCCAATCTATCAGATATTCTTTCAAAAATAAGTTTCGGTAAGGTGGAGAAAATATAAGGGAATGCCTGAAAGTGGACAGGGCGGATAAAAGTAAAAGGAAATCCAGGTCATAAAACAAATCTTACTTGAAAATTCTGCTTGGGGACAACCCTGTAACTTCAACTTGCAAAAGTATAATCAAAATGTGTTCTTCAGTTGTAGCTGTAATTATTTTTTAAGCTAAGCAATTCAGAAGTTGGAAATGGATATTAGGCAAAATTGGTGTAAAATAAAATAAAATAAGCAAGCTCATTAGGTAGACTCAGCATTGGTAGAAAAGATTAGATGATTCAGATAACTTCACTTAAAGTGAATATTTGGAAGTGGGAAAAATAAGATCATTAAAAATGTCGATCAATCAATAAGCATTTATTAAGACCTTACTATGTCAGATAGTCAAACCTTGCACTAAGGCCCTCTGACTCAGCATCTAGTGCTTTCCACTGCATCATGCTTGTCTCTCATATGTTCAGGTGCATGGTTCAACAAAAGATTTGGAAGGGACCTTGGAAGCCATATAATACAACTCATAATAAGAATCTCCTCCACAATAATCCCTGTAACTGATTCAATAAGGCAGATATTTTGTTTTTTCCATTATGTCACATAGATTTGTGCTGATCCACATTCTCTGTGACAAACTGGCTCACATTTTCAAGACACCTGGATGAGGCTCTAAATTTTACTGTATGCTGGAAAAAGTAGCAGGTCAACATGGGGATATAACCCATGAAACTAAGCTCAGTGCTCCAAGTTACATTTTGGTGATTAGGACCGACAATTTTCAATTCTATGGCCCAAATTTCTGTCACAAGCAGGAAAGAAGAATGTAGTGCTCAGATTGGATATGGCTAGGGAGCTAAGATTTATTTTGTTTTGTGGATGAAAGTATCCTATTCTTTCGTTGGGGTTTGAAATATAGAAATGGTATAGCATATGATTTAAGGAAGACAGGTAGACTATTTCATATGTGAGACAACATGGGCAAAGTACAGCCTCAGAAGCAGGCTAGCCTTAACAGAAAACAGCAAGCAAGGTAAGAGACTGGAAGCCAAATGTTAAGAGGCTAATAAAGTAATCATCTCTCATCATTTCAGGATTTCACATTTGTAGTTTTGGTTATTCACGGGTTGGTCACTGATAATCAAAAGGGAATTTCTGGACATCTGCAGCACACTGCAGAAAATTGCAGATGAAGCACATATTTGAAGAAAACTTTAGAAAGTCATAAATGTGTAAATACTATAAATTATTAATCTACTTTATCATTTGCTACCAAAAGTATACATACATAAATTTATTAAAAACAATTACATTTTGTTTAAAGTTTCAGTACGCTAAAGAACTATAGGCTACACACTCTTTTTGGAAACATTTCCTCTGTCTCTTGGGCATCCAGACTCAGTCACATGATTTTCTCCTGCAATGATAGTTGTAGCTTGTGCTTCTTATAGAAGGAAAATCCATGAAGCAGTTACTGCAGCTAACTGTTGCTGTGAAGACTGTACAGTGTGCAAGATACAATTCTCTTGCATGCAGAAAACTGCAACCTTTTTTAAGGAGCCAATATGTTGTTTTACTTCTGTGGTAATATGATCAGAATTATTAAAAATAAAGGTTTGGGGTAGGGCCTAGAGTTATAGTTTTTTACATTTGTTGGAGTCTTGTGCCTCTAACCCTTTCAAATGTCAAGGGATGCCTGTAATCTGTACTAATAAGGCTCTGGGTTAGCAGTACGAACTGGAAGAAATATTAAGGACAAGTAAATAGAACATGGTAAGCACGTATGATATATCAGAGTGCAAAAGAGGCAAACACAAGGAAGGAGCTTTGCACTGGTCAGACCACAAATGCAACGCTATCTAGTTCTGGGTGCCACATTTTGGGAAGGGCACCAGAGAGCATTCAAAGGAAGATAACCAAAACAGTAAGATACCTAGAGACCATGCTAAGCCTTGCGACTAAGACCCCTTTTCCCACCTTTTCTGTCTTTTACTACTCATAGTTCAGTTAAATCTACTTCAGGCAACTGCCTACTATGTATGCAGCACTAGGCTAGGCATCTGAAATACAAAGAAGTATAAAACATTGGTTTCCCACCCAAGAGAGACTACTTAAAGAGCTGTGGAAAAGGAAAAGATATAAAAATATAAATAATAAAAAGACAAGTATGCAAGAATAATGTCTAAAAACAACTTTATTGAATTTACTGTTATTTCCCTACTTTTTCTTTATTTTCTAATAGGTTTCTGTACGTTAGTCTGGGGACCTAAACACTATTTATAAGGTCTTAATTAAAACAATTCTAACTCAATCCAGTTACATATAAAGCCATTATATGTTGGAGGTTTCCTCTATTACCTAATATGTGGTATTTCTAAAAATTTACCAATTTGTTCTGTTATAAATTATTCTTTAAAAGAAAACCTTCATTCCATTATAAGAATAAAAGGAAGAAAATAGGTGTAGGCTATATTTTAACATTTATGATTTCTATACAGCAGTTATCATTCAATATTTATAAATAATTTGTCTAAAAAGAGTCTTTTACTTTCACAGGTACTCTATCATAACCATATTCAAAGTTTTCAAAGTAACTTTTTCAGTTTTTAAGTCACATTAACACCATATTCCAAAGACAATAGACAAAAGCATAAGGAAAAAAATCTGGTCCTACCACTGTCTAAACTGAGATTTTCTGTACTTCATTTTTTGGGCTTGATACAAATTTGCTGTTTTACACCAATCAGGATGAAAATATGGAATCTGGTTTGAGATGCTGAAATATTGATGCATATAGGAAGATACTGTTTGCAAGAATTTCTGTCCTGGGCTCTCTTCTCTTTTCCCTCTATATTTCATTCAGTGATCTTATTAGCTCTCAAGGACGCAATTACCATCTTTATGCTGACAATTCTCAAATCTCCTATCCTGCCCCAACCTCTCTGCTGATCTCCAGTTTTGAATTTTACAACTGCCTTTCAGACATCTTGAACTGGATGTCCTATAGACATCTTATACTCAACAAGTCCAGAACAGAATTTATCATCTTTCCCCCTAAACCTTCCATCTCCACACTCTACTCCTACCTTCCATATTACTGTAGAGAGCAACACTACTCTCCCAGTTCCTCAGGCTCATAACCTAGGAGTCATCCTGGACTCTTACCTCTCACTCTCCCATATCCAATCTATTGCCAAGGCCTGTTGATTTCACCTTTGCAACATTTCTCAAATTCTCCCCCTTCTGACACTGCCAACACTCTAGTTAAGACCCTCACTGCCTCACTCCTAGATTATTGCAACAGACTGCTGGTGGGCCTCAAGTCTCTTTCCACTCCAATTCATCCTCCATTTAGCCACTTAAGTGATTTTCCTAAAGCACAGGTCCAAATTTGTCCCACCCCCACTCAAAAAACTCTAGTGGCTCCCTGTCACCTCCAAGATCAAATACAAAATGCTCTGTCATTCAAAGACAATCATAACCTAGCCCCTTCCTATCTTTCCTGTCTTCTTATGCCTTCTCCCATCAAGTACACTGATCCACTAGACTCAATCTCTGCAGCATGAGAATTTTCTCTAGCTATTCCCCATACTCAGAATACTCTCCCTCAACTCTATCTACTGACTTCCTAGCTTCCTTTAAATTCCTTTACAATTCCATCTTTTACACAAAGCTTTTCCCAAACCCTCTTAATTCTAGTGCCTAACCTCTATTAATTATTTCCTACTTATCCTGTATATAATTTGCTTTCTCTGTATTTAGTTGCATGTTGTCTTTTCCATTAGATCGTAAACTCCTTGAAAGCAGGGACTGTCTTTTGCCTCTTTTTGTATCCTCTGAGCCGAGCTTATTCCCTTATCACCTGGAACACAGCAGGCAGTTAATAAACGCTTCTTGATCAACACTTGGTTCTTTATTTTTGAGAATCAATGTGGCATATAGGATAGACAGGTGACCTGGGAGTCAGGACAAGGTCAAGTTCTACCTCTGATAAATACTGGCTGCATAACCATAGGCTAGCCACTTAATCTCTTGGTGCCCTAGACAACTCTCTCAAACTAAGATGCAGAGATGCCAGCCTGTATTGGTTAAAGGGTTTTTTTCCCCTTCTAGGAGTTCTTGACACCAATGATATCAAAGGTCCTATCCCTATTTTTTTTTACTCCTGGGCCACTTTTTTGGGGGAGGGGAATGCTGAGTTTTACAGGCTCAAGAGCTTAAATTTGTGATTTTCTAATGTGATTTTTTCCACTACATTACTATGCCACAAACATGTTGGCATGCATATAGCACTTTCAGGTTTACCAAACACTTCAAAATATATTTTCTCATTTAATCCTCCCAACAGCCCTACTAAATAGGTAAGCAGGTATTTCATATATTCATTTGATAAATCATGGAACTGAGGTTCAGGAAATTCAAATGCCTTCTGCAAGGCTCAATCAACAACTTCAGCAAGGCCTCCTTTACCTGTATCTGCAAAAAAACAAAACAAAACCACCATTACCAGCTCCCCTAGGTACATAAGTAGTATTTAGAGCTGCATTTGTTTTCCAAGGCCTTTTGCAAAGCAAAACTCACATAGGTAATTAACTCTTAAAGAGATGAGTAACTGATTTTTATCTGGGAAAGTAGCTCACTCAAGAAAAACATGAGGATTGTGTTGAAATGTGCCAAGTAAATGCATTTCAAATGGTCTCTAATAACATTCAGCAAATACTCGTTTTCAATTAGCAGACTACAGAAAAGACACCGCTGGTATTTTCATGTCATTTCTGATTTGCTTTCTAAGGTTCTTCTTTAGCCTTAAGAACCCCAAACCTACAAAAGCTGCTTCTGGATAGTTCAATTTGAAAGTTTATAGAAAAAGGAAAGAGATCAAGTCTTGGGAACCATTAAGAAAGCAGGAATAGTAATGCTTTTCATAGGGGGTGTCTCAGGTGTCATTTCCAGGCCCTCAAGGGTATAAAATCAGACTACCTTTAGGGAAGTTCGGAGGGCCCTGTCAGTACAGGCCTTCCTAAGAGCAGGATGGGATAGCTAAATTTCCTCTGAGGGGAGAGTTAGGGCCACTTAGCCTAGAGAAGCTTCCTTCTACAATTCTGGCTCAAACCCGTATTTATTTTTACCTGGATTACTGAAATTGTCTCCGAACTCTAATTCTTGTATCTACTCTATGCCCTCTCAACACTGATATCTGCGTAAAAGACTTTTCTCCGACAAATTCATATTGTCCACATACTGTCCTGGTATAGTCAGTCACCCTCTAGCCAAAGGCTTCAGAGGCTTTCCACTGCTTACAAAAGAAACTCAATAGCCTAACTCTAACTTAACTTTCTGGCCTTTTCTCATACTCTTTTTCCTTTAATTATGTTCTAGCCAAATAAGCCTATTCTCATCCCACTGCTTCTGTTTTTTTTTTCTGCTGTTATAAGTTTTTTGTCAAAAGAATTTCTATTCTGAACTTAAATACCAAATAAAAAGCATTTCTGTATATGTAGTACAAACAGAAAAAGGACTGCATATGAAACTGCAGATTTCTATTATGTACACACCTTGCTTTTTTTTTAATTAAAAAGAACTTTCTTCAACAATCAATCATTTATTTTCTCTCCCACCCAACTCCTCCCCCCACCCCCGGGGGAAAAAAGAAAAACAAATCCTTAGTAACAAAATATGTAAATGACACAGCGAAACAAAACAAATCGCCACTTTGGCCATGTCCAAGTTCTGCCTCTTAGTCCATCACTTCCCTGTCTGGAAGTAGGCACCTGCTTTTCCTTTTAAATACATTTCGCCCTGCACCTTTCAAAGCTGTCCTGTGCTTCCTCCTGAGCCTGCTCCCATCCTGGTCCCTTCGCTGCTGCTGCCCCCCGGGCCCGGCACGGGCGGCTGTCTCTTCCCCCCGGTCCCTCTCCCCACGCTCTAAGCCCCTCCCTCGGGGGGTTAGCTCGTGGGCCACCTCCCCAGGCAGCTGCTCGACCCTCGTCAGGCCCCTTATCTGTCCGGCCTCTCTCCTTCCCTCCCTGGCTAGTCCCTCGCCTCCGAAGGAGGTCTCGAAGGCCTGGGCCGTCTGTCTCCGTCTCCGACTCCGACTCCCTCTCGGCATCCCCGGGCCCTGGCTAGCACGCACAGTACCTGGCTCGGAGGCGCTTGAGAAAAAGTTTGAGGAACTAAATTACGTCAGAAAATAAGCGGGGCTTTCAGTCAGGGCTCCGTCAGAGTCTGGGGGGAGGCCTGGAGTGGGGCAAACGAGGACGGTTACGAGGCCGCCGGAGGGGCCGACGCGCCGGGTGACCCTGGGCCAACCTTCATTACTCCAGCGAACACGGCAGACGAGGAGCGCGCGGGTGATTATGGGGGCGGAGTGGGAGGGGAGGGAGGGAAACGTTCCGTCACGGAGCATGTGCCATCAGCTCGCCGACCAATACGGGGCTAGTCTGGGGCTCCCGCGCGAGCTAGGACTCCGACTGGAGAAGATCTAACGAAGCGCGTGACCTCGGTTCTCTCACTGTACATGCGTGGCCAGGTTAGCGTCTTCTTCCTTGAGAGCTCCGGAATATAGCGGGGGAAAAGGGATAGATATGGAGCATGCCCGCGCAGAAGAGACGGAAGCAGGGCGCAGGCCAGCAGAGGAGGGAATCAGGTAGGGACGGGTCTTAGCTGGACCTTCACAGGTACTTCCGGGTCGGCCTGGGTTCCACCGACTGAAAAGCGGGCCACCGCTTCAGGGGAAGCCAGTCGATGATCGAAAGGCTCCATTGTTGAGAATCATGAGCCTGTTTAAGAGATCGCCGAGTGCAGTGCTTGAGGATCGACCTGATTGCTCCTCAGTATCTCACGAGTCTTTCTTAAGGAAATCTGCAGGACGAGGTAGTTTTACTGAGCCTCAGTTTCCTCATCTGAAAAATGGAGATCCTAATGCATACACGACCTACGACACTTTGTAAAGTCTAAAGACCTACAGAAATGCGAACGTTTGTCATCACCTTAGTAAGAACACTTAATATCCAAACCTGTTGATGATGAAGACGACAAGAAGGAGAATCCAATTTACCCGAGGCGTGCAAGCTTCTAGTATTGCTTGTCTCAGCCTGGGATGACCTAGTAGTCCCGAGAAGCTTGGAATCATATTATCAGTGCTGGGAGAAGTCGTAGGGATCATTTGGTTCAACCCCCCTATTTTACAGGTGAGGAAATCGAGGCCCAAGTGGCATGCTGAGCCACAAAATTTGTGGTAGAGGGTAGAGGTAGAGTCTTAGGGTTTTATACTGTCTTGATTGTAACTGTAACATCAAGGATGAAATGGTATCACAAATTAGCCTTGACCTTTAGGTCACATCATTTAAGAATTTATTAAATGCCAACTCTGTGCAAATACTACAGGTTCAAAGAAAGAAAAAAAAAACTAAACAGCCCCTGCGCTTAAGGAGCTTATATTCTACTAGGAAACAACCCAGACACTAAGTAAATACAAAACGTAAGGACAAAGACTACACCTGTGATTTCATTGTTAGAGAGAACTCCCAGATGAAGAAACTCCCTCTACCAATGTAAGCCAGTGCCTTCTCTGCAATTTACAATCTTAGAGAGTTGTCTAACACACTGAGGGGTCGAGTGATTTGCTCAGGGTCCTGCAAGCACTAGGTATTAGAAGCAGAATGCCTCTCTCCCAAGCCACTGATACTAGGTGCTGCCTCTCTTGAAATAGAAAACATATACAAAGTAAATTCAAAGTAATTAGGGGGGAAAGTACACTTACAGTAGGGGATCAGGAAAGACCTTTAAGAGGTGATACTTGGGAGGATTTTAAAGTCAGAAGTGAGGAAGGAAAGTATGAATAACAGCCTCTATGCAGAGAAGAGAGAAATAGATGTTTGAAGGAACAGAAGGTAGGCTAGTTTGGCTAGAACCTAAAGTGTAATGTATATCACTGTAAGGTTTGCAGAGTATTTTACATGTAACTCACAACATCTACAAAAATAGATGCTATTATAATCTCAGATTTACAGAGGAGGAAATTGAGGCTGAGCGAGATTAAATCATGGCCAGAGTCACACAGCTATTATGTATCAACCAGAATTTGATCTCCTGTCTTTCTGACTCCAAGTCTGATACTCTGCCTTAAGGAGGTGAGAAATGTAAAGGAGCTAACCCTAACCTTCCCTCACCCCCAACCTCTCCCTCAACCTAACATAGCCTGTTAAGAGGTTTATTTTGCCCTACCCAACAATGATAGTAGATCTGTTCATAGCCCTTCTCTTCTCCATAGGGAAACTCATATGGTCAGCAGGGCAGGATATAACAACTCTTGTGGTCTTCAGACATAGACCAAATCAGAGTGATGCCCAACTTCACGTGAGTGGGACTTTTTATGCCCTTAGAGGACTAGAAAGCTGTGTCAGATGAGGTGGGGCCACTTAAGCCCTAGGCATAGCTTTGTCACCTTGCAGGGAAAATTAATCCCTATTGTTTGGAAATGGAGAAAACCCAGTTCCTATCACAGCCCTCACTGGAGCCCAATCAGGGTGGTACTGTGAGTCACAGAGACTGTGCAGGCCTCTAGGGATCCCGGAAGGGGGCCTACCAAAAGGAGGAAGGGGAACTATTTGACAATCCTTAGGCTTGTATTTCGATCCCTTCTGGGTCCTGTACTGTAAATAAAATTCAGTCTGGTTTGATATTTTGTGAGTCTGCAAGCTCACACTAGTCTAAGGTGAGTTGGTGCTACCATTAGGGAACTGTCAAAGATTGGAAGTTTCATCTGGGTGGGGTCAACGAGCCAGAGAAGTGAGGGGTCCCTAAACCATAACTAGGCCCTTCGTGTCAAAAGGGAACCTCTGACACAGGATTACATTTTATACCAAAACAGATTTTTTTCAGAGTTTTCATGTATGTTATTTCATTTGGTCCTCACGGCAACCCAGTGAAGCCAGCAAGGCAAGCATTATTATCCCTGTCTTATATAGTAGATGACAGAGCTAGAGAGCTTAAAAGACTTGCCCATGGGCCACTTGGTAGCAAGTGACACAGGACTCCATCCTAGATCTTTACTAAGGCCATACCTTTCCCTCCATTTATCCTCCACCCTCAATGTTAAATGATTCCTGTTCAGGGGGTTTCCTTACTGTTGAACTTTGGTATTTTCACTTCACAAAATTTTTACTATTTGAAGAGAGAAAAGCCCAAAGAACATGCATGTATTACTTATGTCCCAGGCCAACAAGAACAAAAAAATCCAGCCTCACATTTCATGACATGGGTAATGAGCTGTGGTGAATGGTTATTTAATGCAGAATGTACTTATATTTTATAGCTGCTTTGCTAACCACTCGTCCTCTCTTTTATCAATTTGTAGTGTTACAGTAACAGCTGGCTGCTAGTTCTCTGTGCCCAGTTACTCCCCATGGCCTTTGTGCTGTGGATATTATCTGAGGCTCAGGAATGTAGCACCTCCCAGTAGCCTACTTGTAGCAGCTCACCACTTTAGCAATGTACCCTTAGGCCTGTGAGGAAGAATGATTACTCCACCCTGTTGTTGTTCAATCACATCTGACTCTTTGTGACTCTGTGACACAGCATGCCAAGCCCTTCTATCTTCTGCTCTCTCTCCAAGTCTGTGTTCATTGTTTCCATTTATTTCACCATAGGCAAAATAGACTAGGCCAGTATTTATAGCTCTTGTAGAAACCTACTCAGAATGTCAGGATTGAAAGGTGAATCTTATGAATCATTTCACTTTCATTTTATAGAGGAGAAAAATGAAACCCACGGCAGCTAAGCTAAGTAACTTGCCTAAGGTCACACAAGACTAAAGCCAATGTTCTTTTAAGGACATCACACGGCCTTTCTAAACATTTCAGGTCTGTAGGTATCTTTTAACTGATTTTTCCCTTATAGATATATCTGTCCAACTCATCAAGTCAGTTTATTCTTGGTCCATGATTCTTTTTTTTTTTTGACTTCTCAAAGATTCTGTCTTTTCTTCTCTCTAGCTAATCTGAGCTTACCCCTCTCCCTGTTGAAAAAATTTGATCTACAGATATTCTTCTGAACTGAATGTTTTTCTCTTTCTGTAACCTGTCTCCCTTCTCCCTCCATTGTGAACCCTTTGCCTTTCTTTGTTCTTTAAGCCATTAAAGTATCTCTTCAGGAAGAAAAGGAGGTATTTGATACCATATGTGTATGTGTGTGTGTATATATATATATATACACACACACACATATATATGTGTGTATATATATGTGTGTGTGTGTGTGTGTGTATATATATGTGTATATATCAAAGTTGCTACTAATTAAATTCTCCCTACTTCCCAAGGTCCCTTCCAAGCAGCAGCTTAGCTTTTCATATCAAGTTTTTTTGCACATAGAATCATGGGTTCATAGACTCATAGTTTTAGAAGTGGAAGGGATTTTAGTGGTGACCTCTTCATTTTTTACAGTTGAAGAAACTGAGGCCCAGAGGGATTACTGTAACTTATTTAAGAGCACAAAGGTAGTAAATGGCAAAGTTAAGATTTGCATTGAGTCCCTCTGACTCCAGATCCATTGCTCTTCCCATTGTATCATGCTTGTCTCTCCCATGTTGACGTGCTTGGTTCACTCTCAGATTTGGAAGGGACCTTTTAAGCCATACAGTCCAATCCATAACAAGAATCCTCTTCATAAGATCACTGACAAATAATCTTATGGAGGGGATTGACAGAGGATCCCACTTCCTCTTGAACCAGCAAATTTCATTTTTAAGCAAATGTTTGTCAATGAGAACATTTTTCTTTAGATTGAAGCTAAATATATCTCTCAGCAATTTTCACCCTTTGTTCCTAGTACTATCTTTTTGGAATGTAACTGACTCAATAAGGTAGATGTTTTGGAGGGTTTTGTTTTGTTTTCATTTAGTCACATGGATTTCTACTGACCCATCTTCTCCTTGTGACAAATGGCTCACATTTTCAAGAAACCTGGTTGGGGCTATAAAAGTTACTCTGAATGTAGGCTGGAAAATAGATCAAAAGTAGCAGGCCAACATGGGGGATTCAATCCATGAAACTAGGCTTAGTAACTCAAGTGTTCTGAGATCTGTTCCAATGATTAGGATTGACCATTTTTCATGCTGTGCCCCAGGTTTCTGTCGTGGGTAGAGAAGAAAGGAACAAAAATGTAGTAGTACCCAGGTGAGTGTGGCTAGTGAACTAAGATTTACTTTGGTCTGAAGATTTGTTTTTTGACTTTTTGAGAAGCAAGATGGCATTGTAGATAAAAAGCTGGCTTCAAAACCAGAAAGACCTGAGTCCAAATCTGATCTCCAAAAAATACTGGTTCTGTGACCTTGGGAGTATTACATAGTCTCTATTATAGTCTCTCTCTCTTTCTCTTTCATATATATATATATATATGTATGTATGTAGTCGCATAGAGACTTATTATATAGTCTCTCAGAGCTCTAGGGAGCTCCCTAAGACAAGCAGGATAGCTTTGAAAGTTACACATTAAATTTGTTATATACTTGAAAATAAAAGTAAACTATATAATACATTCACAGTTTCACACAATACTTTCTTCTGTTTCATAACATATGTAGAAATCCTTATTTTACTTGGTGTTTGTTAAGATCAGGATTAAAACTTTTTTTTAAGAGTTAGGGAAAAAAACAGACTTCTCTGTATTTTCTAAAATACTAAGTACAAAGTAGTGACAATTCACTATCATAGCATTAGGTT